GTAAGTTAGTTACCCATCAGCATGAAATTGTAAACCAACAACAAAAAACTTGAAAACAATTCACATCTCTAAAATCATGAATGAAATTTCTTCAAGAAATTTGAATATCTCAACTCAATTCCAAATAGGAATCATCTCATAAACCTGTACAATTTTTTGTCCATATTTAGGCTAAGAACTTTTCTGGAACAAAGCAGTTTCAGATTCACCTATTTATATGTACTATAAACAACCATCTTGAACAATTTGTCAAACATCACATGCCCTGGAAGTTCCAAGAGAAACAGGATTATCCAAAAGTTAAAGACTAAAAAATGTCGAATGCCCTAATATTATCAAACAAACTCGTGAAAAATCAAATGTAGTCACAATGGAAGACAAGAAGAAAGGGTTTGGTTGGTTCTTTAACAGTAAAGACAAGAAATCTTACAACGTATATCTCACGCTTGAACTCTGTTGCGAGACATTCAATCGCTATGTCATCCCCAAAGGCTGCGGCATGGCCCTCTCTGTTCTCGTCCACAGATAACAATCCGTCCTCTGTGTATTGCAGAGTAACAATATCGTATTCATCATCATTGGAACCGGAAATTGACATGTATTTCGCCCAACTCGCACCGTCGTTAACCGGAATACATCTTTCTTTGTAAATCGACTCCGCCGCCGTTTCTCTTCAATCGGAGCAAACAAAATGAGATACGAATACATGGAGAAAGGCGCTTTCGCCATAAAGAAATTTTGCAAAAAACAATCTAGATCTCAGGATTATCGCAGTCTAGATGTGAAAATTTGTTATAGAAGACAGATTTCAGATCCAATGTAACCAAGAATTAATGATACCTCTGCATGCCGAGTTGAACGAGCTCATCGATAGCTCCGTCCAATGCCGGCCGATTCTCTTTCTTGGCCAAGAATTTAACCTCCTGAACCACATGGATTCCCCATCCATTTTTTAGATCGGGAGAGTAGAGGTGCCGAATCGCGTCATTAATCACCTCTCTCTCCTCCAATCTCGCAGATCCGAAATCCTCCGAGAATCGCCTCACCGTCCGCCGCCGGAGCTCCCGAGCGTCGACCTCACGCGCCATACTCATAGCTTCATGAGAAGCCGTAAACAAGCAGTTTCCATCAGATGACACCTCACCACCATGCGAGAGGCGAAACACCGCAGATCTCAACGGCGCGGAGGAGGAATCAGCACTATCCTCCTTCGGATGCTTCCAGAGAACGCCCTTAGCATGAAGTTTCTGAAGCTGCCGCCTCTGCTGGTCCTCAAGGCCAAGAACATCATCCCAGGCAGTGTTCACAACGGCCGTCGACTGGTCCAGAAGATCTAGAGCTCCATTAGTATCTATACCGGGGGAAGAGTTCTGGTCCCGCCAATTAACGGCCGGTGAGGTGGACGGAAACGATTCGGCTACAGCCGTGGTGGAATCACAAAGTAGCTTCCCCATTTTCGGAGCGGAAATGACTGTAAAAGCAACGATGTAGAAGCGTTTCGGAGTTTTTTTTTTTTTTTTTTTTTTCTTGTGGTGTACCTCTCTCTTCCTTCCAATGGCGACGAAGTTGCAGAGGAGAGAGAGAGAGCGAAGAGAGAGAAAGGGTGGGTTAGGGTTAACGGATGGATATGTGAAGCAAACGAAAGAAGACACGTGGACCAATCCACACTCTCTTTTAAAGGCGCATTTAAGCATGGATTCTTTCCCCCCATGCCCCAACGGATTTATTTGCTATTATACGCCGTTCATCTCTACCATTAATATATTTATTTATTTATTCATTGCATCTTCGCTTTTTTTTTTTTTTTTTTTTTCTTTCGGTAATTAAAATTAAAAATACTCTAACGAGACAACAATAAATAATTTTCCTTTTTTGAAAAAATAAGACAATATATATTATATGGAAAAAAGGGTGGTAGGTGCCAGCCTGGCATGAAAAATGTGCAGCAGCCCCACTCAGCTGGAGCTGACTTTGAAACTTCTTTAAATGGCGCAAAGCCGATTAGCTGCCACCAGCTCGGCTCAAGCCAATCCGTTAACCCAATACTTTCCTTAACAAGATGGTGTGATGGGCCCAAGCCCATTGGGCTAGCATTTTATAACAAAAATTATTAAAATATATATTTTTCTCTCTTTTTATTTGGAGAAAATAATTTTTTAGGTATATTATTTTTTATTATAAACTTTTAATTCTCATAGACTTTTGTTTGACATATCGTTTGAAAATAATATTTTTATGTGTATTTATTAAATTTTAAAACATATATTTAGCACGGAACAAAAGGAATTTTAATGGAAAAAAAAATATTAAAGTTTGTTTTTACTAACATTTGTATTTCTATTAAAATTAATTAGTAAATTTAGCAAAAACTAAATAAAAATAACAGCGTTTAAAGTAATAATTAATACACCTCATTAATTTCTCGTTTATTTAATAATTTCTTTAAGGAAAAAAAATGTTAATAAAATAAGAAATTATAAATTTAAGGTAAATTATAAAATTTGAAAATATTTTGGTAAAATTGATGGAATAATGAAATAAAGAAGAGGACAATGATAAGGGCTGACATGGCAGATCTGATAACTGTCTGGATGCGACACTGCATACTTTCAAAATCATCCCTCCACGTGGCATTGTCAGCAGTCTGTCTTTTCCACGTTTTATTCTTTTCTTTTTTCATAAAAACAAAATCTCATTCTTTTCCAGTTAAATTATGAAATAATAATATTTTTATGGGTAAATATATAAATTTTCATATTAATATTTCAATTTCAAAATGTTGATTTTTTTTAATTGACTAATTTCAAGAATTAATTAACCTTAACCATTCTAAAACTCACAATTTTTTAAATTAGTTTTTCCAAAATTTTAGAGAAACATATATTTCTAATTTAAACTTCAAATTTTGGAATTGGAAAAATTGCAATAATTAATATAAAAGAAAATTATTATATACAAATAATGATTTTCTTTGTATATATATTTATTTAGATTACGCATTTTCGTGGGTAATTTATAGCTGATTTTGTTGACTTTTTTTCCTTTTAAGATTTTTATATTGATTTTAATTCGGTATTAATTACGATTTATAAAGTCAAATTATAAAAAATGTGATTAAGTGCAAAGTATCTAAAATTAATTTTTTTTTTTCCTAATTTTAAATTTGTTATGATTAAGGTTTAAAAAATATGTGGATATATAGAAAAATATTTAAATTAACAGTTTTAGATTTGAAAGATATGTGGATAAAAATGTTGAAATGTGGATAAAGTAAAAAGGTAAATGAGTGAAAATGACAGTGAAAAGGGAAGCAATAGATTGGATGGGTAAAAAAGGGTAAGTTAGAGAGTCAGGTTCAGTGACTATGTACTGTTTGCTTTTTAAATTCTGAAAAAAGATAAAAATAATGATTCGGTTTTAGGAGTTCTGTCGATCAAACGTTCATCTTCTTACACTAGTTGTAAGGAAGGATTTTTCTTATTTGTACACCGATTGATTTGAGTCCAAGAACAACCTAAAACTATTTTAAGTTAGTTCCGTTGGTAGACCCGAACAACCCAAAATTGAATTCACAACCCAATCGTCTATTCTTTTTAATGAGTTATTGAGTTGTTTATATATATATAAGTTGACACCCAAATCACAAGCAACCGACTAACTTTAATAGAAGACAAAATGTTGTTCTTCAAATAAGTTCTTAACACCGTCCACTTCCTAGAAGCACGAGTGACAAAATTGAACGAAAAAGTCGAAGAAATCGACACAATGGGCAACCACTTGGATGAGTTGCCAATCAAAAGAACTAATATTTCGAGTGGACTCGCTCGAATAAAAAATTACTCCTAAGAGCAACTCAAGACCTACTAGTAGCTCTAATAGCTCTGTCGCACATAGAGAGAGACGTGGCGATGGTTCGATGAGTTACAAAATATCATGATACAGTGTAAATATATATATCATTTATTTAAAAAATTTATAATTATCTACAGTATATATTAGACTAATAATTAAAATCTTATAAAACTCAAATATTAAGGCGATAGAAGTAACGCCACATCACTAAATGTTAAATTGTGTATTTAATTATGAAGTTTTAGAATATGTTAAAGAAATAAAAGTTGTGGGAATAAATTGGAAATTAATTAAAACAGTAAAATTGAAAATTTTGTGAAAGAGAAGGCCTGCAGCAAGGCACGTGAGGGTCCCAAAAATTCCTAGACAAACTTATATATATATATATATATATATATATAAATATATAAATAAATGATAATTTTCTCTCTCTACACGTGCCTGTGATGTACGGCACATGATATGTGGCAGTGATTGAACCATCATTTCCACTGCCTCCTCCCTTTTATTCATTTTCTTATGCTCCTACTACCTATTATTATTATTATTATTATTATTATTATTATTATTCTTATTTTCTGTTTCCTCCTTTTAAAAAAATATAATTAATTAATTAATTAACTAATTAAACTTTTATATTTCTAACTATAACTATAACAACAAATTAATTTTTTTATTACACAAAAATAAATAAATAAACATAATTATTAAATACGGATAATAAAAATTGAAATGATATAGAGAAGTTAGAGATAACAATTCAAGTCATTTTCGTTCTCTTCCCCCAACTAATATGTGATCTCAGAATCCACTCTCTTAGCATCCTTTAAAACACTTGTTCCAATTGATGTGGGACCTCCCCGTCTATCTTTTAGGGCTCATGTCCACTCCTTTCGTTGAACTTGCTTGCTGACACATTTTCTAATGTCGGGTTATGATACCATTTGTAAGTATCAAAGTCGATTGCTAGCAGATATTGTCCTATTTGGATTTTTTCTCCTAAAGAAGGTCGGGAAGGACGAGAGATCTCAAATAATTAATTAAAAAATATATATGTTTATGAAATAAAAAGAAATTAAAGGAAAAAATTGTGTTATGGAAGTGTTTGGATCCGTCCATAACTCTTCCGCCAGCTGAAAAGCCGCCTCCACCCAACCAACTTGCTACGCGGATATTCAACAAATCTCATTCCCCAAAACAGAAACTCCATCGCTCCAGCTCTCATCTCCTCACACAAAATTCCCTCAAATCTCATCGCATCGCCAATATCACGATTACAACAACAATCCATTCCACACTCCACAAAAACCCATCTCTTCTTCTTCTTCTTCCTTCTTCAATTCCCCCAATGGATTCTTGGGCTTCCATCCCTGTTCACGATGAGTACCAAAAGCTCGTCATTAGAATGAACCCTCCAAGGTATAATGCTCCACTGCTTCGATTCTTTTTTTTATGCCTTTCCTTTTTCTTTCTCTTCGGATTTCCTCACCATGAATTGGGTCTTCGATTTCTCTCGTTTTTAGTTTTTTTTTTTTTTTTTCGCGGCTTCTGAATCTCTTTGTTTCTTTTTTAATCGTCGATTCTCAGGGTGTCTATTGATAATACCTCGAGCAGGAAGGCTACTTTGATTAAGGTAATTGAGGAATCGATTGATTTTTGTACAATTTGTTTGCAATTGGGATGGGATAGAACAGGATTCGAGTTTTTTTTGCTGTTTCTGATTTGGGAAATTTTGTAGGTTGATAGTTCTAATAGGCATGGCAGTTTGCTGGAGGTGGTTCAGGTTCTCACTGATTTGAATCTCATAATTCGTCGAGCTTACATTTCTTCTGATGGTGAATGGTTCATGGATGGTAATTAGCTTTTTTCTATGCCTGTTTTTCTCTCTTTCATTTCAATTTCTGTAATGTTTCTTGCTTTGCTTCTCTTTTGTAGTTTTTCATGTCACTGATCAGCATGGGAAAAAGCTCTGTGATGATAGTGTGGGCGAGAGAATCCAACAGGTACATTTGAAAACTCAGATTTTAGTACTGAAACTTCCATTGAATTTCATTGAATTTGATGCAATATCATGCTGGTTAATCTACAATAGTTTCTCTAGAATTAAGAACCAATGGGAACTGAAGTTCTTGTTCTTGTGATTGTGATTGCGATGACCCATTGAAGGGAAGAAGTAGGTAAGAGAGAAATCAAGGAGGGTTTTGGTCAAATTACACTCAAATTGAACTTAACGTTTGGATTTAGTTGCTGAACTGTTTTGAATGAGGAAGAACAGACAGTAAAGGTTATGATAGTTGTCTGTGTCTGATTTATGTCGAATTGCTTTAGCATAATTTTGTATGGAGTCATGTGAAAGGCTGGTTATGCTTTATGTTTAAATTCACTTATTGGATGGAAAGTAAAAGGTTTCTTGTCTCAGTCACTAGGGCCGAGGGCGCGTAGTTTCAGATCATTAAGGAGGTCGGTAGGTGTCCAAGCTGCTGCAGAACATACGACGATCGAATTGTCTGGACGAGACAGGCCAGGCTTGCTGTCTGAGGTTTTTGCTGTTCTTACAGATCTCAAATGTAATGTAGTAGCTGCAGAGGTATGGACCCACAATTCAAGAATGGCTTCGGTGGTTTACATCACTGATGACACAAGTGGAACACCGATAGATGATCCCGATCGGTTGTCTAAGATTAAACAGCTTCTCCTCTATGTTCTTAAAGGAGATAGAGATAAGCATAGTGCCAATACTGCTGTTTCAATGAATTCTACTCATAAAGAGAGGAGGCTGCATCAAATGATGTATGCAGACCGTGATTTCGACTTGAATCATGCGAGTTGCGGCGAAAGCTATCAGAGCAGGCCGCTTGTGACAGTAGAGAACTGTGTTGAGAAGGGGTATACCATTGTCAACCTGAGATGCCCCGACCGACCCAAGCTACTTTTCGATACTGTTTGCACCCTGACTGATATGCAATATGTTGTGTACCATGCAACCATCATTGCTGAAGAGCCCGAGGCTTATCAGGTCGGTCCGAAGTTGTTGTGTTTATCGAACTTTTGATCTTTTTCTTGGCAATCCCATTTGATAGAAATATATGAAAATTTCAATCTCTCTAACTTTTTCTGGCAGGAGTACTTTATCAGGCATGTAGATGGAAGTCCCATTAGTTCAGAAGCAGAGAGGCAGAGGGTTATCCATTGCTTGGAGGCAGCAATTAAGCGACGAACGACCGAGGTATTTACCCGAATCAGAGTGAACTATTTAACTCTCATCACATTACTTTTGATTGGTTTTATACAACTTTGTTATTCGTACTATAGGGTATAAAACTCGAGCTTTGTAGTGAAGACAGAGTCGGGCTTTTAAGCGACGTAACGAGAATATTTAGAGAGAATGGTCTTTCTGTCACTCGAGCTGAGGTTACCACGAGAGGAAGTCAGGCAGTGAATGTTTTCTACGTGACTGACGCATCAGGAAACTCGGTAAGGAGCGACACGATCAAGGCAGTACGAGAAGCCATTGGGCTAACGATACTCCATGTGAAGGACGAGGAACAACAGTCAAAGTATCCAGCGCAGGAGGGGTCGGGATTCTCATTGGGAAACCTGTTTCGGTCGAGATCAGAGAAGGTACTTTACAACTTGGGTTTGATAAAGTCATGTTCATGAGGAGTAGTAGGAAGTAGGAAGAAGTAATATTGATGTAAATAGTAGAATCATCATCATCATAATCCTTCAGTAAAACAGCAGAGGTTTCAAATCAATGGTTGTTGATATTGAGACATGGCTTCATCAATCAAATACATGGCTTCATTTAGATTCTAACTTGTACAATCATAGTAATGAATGTACATAATCAACTCAACTCATCATTATTTCTCTCTTTATTTTAACATGTATAGTTACGAACCAAATCTCTAGCCTATTTATCGAGAACATGTACTTTAACCTATTTAGTTGAATTGAGCTCTACTTAAGTTGAATTTTGAGCCTTACGTACCATAACGGGTTAAGTAGAACTGAGCCTTACGTACTATAACGGGTTAAGTTGAACCGACCCCTATGTACCTAGATGACGAGAATATATACGAATTGAGCTATAAAAAAGGAATTTGATTCAAGAATGTTCCAAATGGAGAGGAGGAGGAGAGGATGTTGGGTCGCTTTCAGAAATATTGGTGTTTATGGGCTGCAAAGCAATTTTCCAATACACGTGTCTTCATCTTATTTGCTTTACTACTTTCCAATAATTAATAACACACCCCGCCTTTCTCTTCCCCTTCCCCTTCCCCTTCCCCCCAACAGCCCATCGCTTTCAACTTTTTCACCATTATTTATTTTCATTTCTTTTATTTTAAATTAATTAAATTCTATTTCAGTTACCGAATATTTTATTTTTTTTTAAATTTCAAATTTGGTTAAAATTTTCTAATTTAATTTATTTGAGTTATTTAACTTTCTGATTTCGATTCAAAAAGAAAGTTTTAGAAAACGGGATAACTACTTACTACATATAACTATTGGATAAGATTTGAGAAATTGAAATTAGCTACTGCATATAACTATCTGGTAGGAGATATGACTAAGGCCATGATATTTAGAGAGTTGCATTAATACCTTTATTTTTATTAAAAAAAATAATTATCTTCTCAAATTCTTTAATTTACGACTTTTATTCTTAAAAAAAAGTTTAAAAATATTTATGAAATTATAAAAAAGTTTTAAAAATATTAATAAAAATTTTATTAATATTCTTAAAACTTTTTTATAATTAAAAGTTTTGAAACCATTTAAAAAATAAGGATATTTTAAAAATATTATTAAATTTTTTGAAAATTTTAAAGATATTTTAAAAAATAAATTGTGAATTTCAGGCATGTATATATGAATTTGTATTAAAAAAATTTGCGTAGGGGAGTGGTTAGTTCCTTATCTAAAATGGCAGTGGCAGTGGCAGTGGGAGGGAGGCTGAAACTTGTTTCACTCCCATCTTCTCTCCGCTCTCTTGGTTCCAGAAATTCCTCTCCCACTACCACAATATCCGCATCTCAGTTCACCACCACCGCCACCACCGCCACCACCGCCAACCCTAATTTCGAACTCAACATGCCATTTTCTTCATCATCATCTTCTTCTGCCGCCGACCGCAAAGTCATCGATTCGCACCTCCATGTCTGGGCGTCTCCACAAGAGGTCAAATCAAACCATTCATTCCTCAATCTCTGTTTTGTATAAACATGAAAACCTAATCTGACTCCCATTTTACTCGATTCACTCTCCAGGCTGCTGCAAAATACCCTTACTTTCCAGGCCAAGAACCCACCTTAACAGGGCACCTCCATTTCTTGCTCCAGGTAATCCTCCCACTTATCTTCAACTTGATTCACTAATATAAGCATTCACCCGATCCCACATGGATTAGAGAGGAAAACGAAGCCTTGTAAGGACAATATTTTCTAAGGATGCGCTTGAGCTGTATAATTAGACTCAATAGACAACATTATACCTATTGTGGAATTACGGAGAAGGCTGTTTCAATGACATCTCACAGAATTCAACTCTTCATATTTGAATCTCTGGATTGATACCTGTGACAAAGATAAATAACCAGCAGTAAGTTGAAACATATAATAAAGGAACAGCTAGAACACTCATCTAAATCCAAGATCCACCCACATGAAGCAATCATCATTTCCTGCAAACCATATTTACCATATGGGTTTTCTTGGAGGCTATAAATTTTGACAGCATTTTCTTCTATCTGTCCGAAACAAATATCAGTCCATGGAAGAAGCAGGAGTAGATGGTGCGCTTATCGTCCAGCCGATCAACCATAAGTTTGATCACTCTTATGTGACCAGGTCAGTTTTGAGTGCTGTCAAAGAAGGATGTTAGAGATGTTCAATTAACTGTGACATCCCAAAGTACTTCTTCATCTCAAATCTTCCATGGACAGCGTAATTAATAAGCATCCCTACAAATTCGTTGGTTGTTGCCTAGCAAATCCAGCAGAAGATGGAAGTGGAATTCAGCTGCTGGAACATCTTGTAACAAAGGTTATCGGCTACTTCACCTATCAAGCAACATCTACTCCTGTTCTAACTCAGCGAAATGATTTTGATGTGTTCTCTTTTCCTTGTAGGATGGATACTCCGCTGTTCGCTTTAATCCATACTTATGGCCATCAGGTCAAAAGGTTTCACACTGATTGCTCTGATCTACTGCCTACTTCCTACTTAGACATGTTTAATGATATATGCAGATGACAAATGAGGTGGGGAAAGCGTTGTTCTCTACAGCAGGAAAACTTGGGATTCCTGTGGGTTTTATGTGCATGAAGGTAGTTTCAAATGTACCCTAATAGGCTTCCTATCAGCAAAGATATGATTAGAGGTAAATCCTTTCAGGGTCTAAGCCTTCATGTTGAAGAGATAAAAGAGCTCTGCACAGAGTTCCCTTCAACCAATGTTCTGCTTGATCACTTGGGTTTCTGCAAACCACCCGAGTAAGCCAACAAAACATACTTGGGGGTTCTATTAATTCTAATACTTGTTTCGTTAAAGCCCATCCTACAATTTACTAACCTTGTGCAGAAATGAGGAAGACAGTCTTGCAATTTCCCAGCTTTTGGAGCTTGCAAGTTTTCCCCAGGTAAAAGTGACCTTAAAGATGTTCTTATCACCTGGCTTGGTTTCTTCTCCTGTAAACCTGGGAGTCGATTTTAAGGTCACAAAGTTAGTTCTGATAACAAGAATTGAATGAGTAAATGAATGAAATCCTGAAATTGAACAAAAACATGGGAGTCAATTCAATTCCGAAATCTTTCCATCATTTGTTCTCCTCCCTAAATCCATTCAGCACCGAGTCCCATGCTCCCCTTCTTCGAGACGAAGGTGATGAAAAATACCAACTTTGCTAATAAAGCACGAGTCCATGCAATCTACTCCTGAAATCATCCTAAATCGTGATATCTATGTTTCTGTTTGTGATAGATATATGTGAAATTCAGTGCACTATTTAGGGTGTCAAGAAGGCCATTTCCATACCAAGATTTGTCTTGCCTCCTCTCTCAAATTGTATCCAGCTTTGGAGCTAACCGCATCATGTGGGGGAGGTATTGATTTCAGTTCCCCTGTTAAAGATAAAAAAAACTTGCAGGTTTAGACATGATGGCATGCTTTACGAGTATGATGATTTGAATATGTCGTGTTTGTTACAGTGACTTCCCATTCGTCGTTCTTGAATGCGGATATAAAGGAGCAATTGATGCAGTATCAGTATTAGCCAATGAAATCTCTCTTTCTTCTACCGAGTTGGAGTGGATTAAAGGCAAAACTGTAGCACATCTGTTTCAAAATCGATGGATATCTTAATCTAACAGTCTCAATGGTGTATAAGGCCCCAAAAATCACACGTTCCAGCTCTTTCAATTAGCTGAGGGATTCTGAATAGAACAGTGTTACTTGTCCTTCCATTTGTGTTTGTTTGTGTCGTTTCCATGTTTTGCTGATTCTTCCAATTAGTGCAAAAAATAATTTCATTTGATGACCTATCAAGAACATTCCTCAACGCAGATTGACACAAGTAATTGTGCAAGGGTATGAACAGAATTGCCTTCATGTGTTGAAAGCAACAAGCAAGGATTCAACAAAATTACTAAGAATTGCATTTCAAGCAACAAGCAAGGATTCAACAAAATTACTAAGAATTGCATTTCAAAACTTTAGCAACAGTAAACTGATCACGATATTGTCATCATTTACCACTTTTCTTTGTTTTGGGGCAGTTTTCGGAGCAATCTATGCTATTCCTCCTCTTCTTCTTTCTTAGCATCTCATATACAAGTGCCTTTTCTAACTGGTCAACCCTATGGGACAGTGAGCTTAACAATCGTGTCTGCATTTCGTTCTTCTCAAACAGCTGCGTCATCATCTCCATCATTCTTTTATTGTCCGCCACCATCTTTTCAAGAAGCTCTCTGCTCTCCCCATGCTCTTCTCTTCCCTTCATTCTGCTATCTTCTTCTTCTTCTTCTTCTACTGGTTCCTCTTCATTTCCACTGCCCTCCCTTTGATCTACAGCTTCATATTCTGCAACCCCATTGTCTAAATTCGGCGGGTTATTACACGAATCCGTCTGACTTTCAGCTTCACTCATTTCCGCGTACTCCTCTGCCGCCTCAACCTCTCTATGCATCGTGTCGCTGTCAACTTCTGCAGGCACCTCGTCTTTTCCTGGCGAGTTCTTGCCTTGCTTTGAAACTTGAGGTTTCGGTATATCATCATCTGCATCAGGACCTTCCAGATCAGCATTCGATTCCATAGAACAAGCCGTAGATTCCTCCATAATTGCTCCCTCCTTTTCAGTGTAACGAGGCGTTAATGCTACCTCATCTACCTTTCCACGCTCATCGCAACCATCGGCAGATTCAACAGATTCAATTTCTGTTCTATCATCATCACAACCGACAACTGGTTCACTGCTTGCCATTTTTGCAGTACAACTTTCATCTTCAAGCTCTGGAATTCTATCCTTGAGATCCGGAGTTTCCCTTGCACCAGAAATATCCATTCCCGAGCACCGATCAACAGCTTCAGAATCACATCTGGCAGTCGCAGCTTCAGGAGTCTCATGGACGACATCAGTAGCTTCATCCACAGCAGCAATTGAATCGATCTTGTCCTGCAAGGCAATAGCCTTCTTGATCACTGCCTTCCTGAAATTCCTAATTCCAAAATCCACGCCCTTCACCGAATCCAACCTTAACAGCAAACTCATCAGCATCTCACCAAACTTAATTCTCTCCTTACCAAACCTCCGAATCAAATCCACAGTCTCCTCATTCGCAAGCCTCCTCTGTATCTCATCTACTTCTCTCTCAATCGCCACAACCTTATTCACGCTCTTCCTCACCAGAAAACCTCTGAAAACCTTCTGGATTGTGGTGGCCGAGTCAGATCTACTCTTCTCCGACTCAACAAAACGGACGGGAATAGAAACCACTTTCGGAACCACCGGCACAGTTCGCCGATGCACCGGAATCTCCATCATGCTAGGAACATATCGAGGGCGTTGAGGGTGGTAGTTCCAGTGATTTCTGAAGAAGGGACTCTCCATCACAATTGAGGACTCAAAAAATTTCTAGAAGAAAGCAGATCAGGAAAAGTACAGACAGAACTTTCTCAAGTTAATAGATGACTTTCTCTTGCGCAAATGCAGATAGAATGTCTCCGATGAAGAACAGAAGGTATGGCCGATTGCTATTTATGGGGGGGGGAATCGATTTGCAGATAGGTTCGAGAAGAAAATTCGAAATATCGAGAAGTATCGGGAAGATTCAAAAAATGCTCGTGGCGCGTGGGACCCACTTCTGGAATCTTCTTCTGCGAATGGTGATTAGGCATTGAATCGAATCTTAAGATGACGTGGCTGCTTTCGTACTGGGAACCGGCCAATGGATTCGTCAGCATTCCCGTCCGTTCACCGCACGTGACATCGTTTTCTTCACGTCGGCATTTTTTCGTCGCCTAATTTCATCAAAATATCGGTTTAATCTCAAGTCATGCCCTTAAACTTTCTAAAATTTTATTTTTATTTTTAATTTTAGATTATTTTAATAAATAAAAAGGTTTCAATTATGAAGGCTTATTTATTTCAAAACTTTTTATATATTTTTTTTAAAGTGAATTAACATGGTGCAATCTAATCTAATGTATAATGCAAACCATTCTACTTCGAACTACGTTTTACAAGAAAATATTTTAGAGAAACGTGGATAAGTAAAATCATTGTAACATTTGAAAGTAGTAAACATTGTAAAAGTCGATTGCATTGAAAACATGTAAGCAAAAATATATATATATATATATACAAAGCCGAGAGAAGTTTGATGCCTAATTGATCGATCTCCGAAGCAATTTAAGTTTGATAGGCCTAGACATAATTTTACCGAACAATCATGTAACAAAAATAAACTTAATAACTTAAAGAAAGTAAGACAACATAAAACTAAATAAAAGGATTCAACGTATCATTGACATTTGACATCATGACCATGAGACCGATGAGACCGAGAATACTTGGCAATTAATAATTAATTGTTGAAAAAATGTTAAATTAAAAAATATCACTAGTTGGTTTTCAATTTTACCCCCAACGTTTACAAAACAAAGCCTTCAACGCTTACATGCACTTACATGAACAAATTTAAGAGTAAGGAAGCCCGAAATCCAAGTATGGGAATCAAAAGAATTATCGTATCAGTTTCCTATAAAACACTGCTCAGCGCTGTTGCAGATATATGAAAATAAAGCTTTGTAGTGCTGTAAACTAACCTTGTTGCCACTTGCAAATCCAGAGAGGCATCAGTGATTATGACCAAAAGTAATTGCTAGCAGCTGTGTCACTGCTCGTGCTGGTAAGATTACAGGGCACTTTCAACCCAGATCATAATGTCCATTCTCACTGCAAAACTTCATGACAACCGACATTTACAGAACCATTATCTTCTACTACCTGTAGAACCCATTTTGAGCTGTCATCTAATCTGTGAATTAAAGAAACAAGGGCCATAGGCATCTCATGAATCACTTCAAGAAAGTTAATGAAGGAAATAGATACATTTGAAGTCCAAGCAAGCTTAGAATGATGAGAAAGAAGAGACCACAACAATAAAAAGTTGTGGGATAAAGCTACGGATCACATGTCTTGTAAATAACTGAACTAATCAGATTGAGGCTACGAAAACAATGATCTGAAGCAGAGGGACCCAGTTACATGTGATACGATCAAACGCCCTTCAATTCAAGCAAAAAGTAGATTTATTTGACCTCTTTTCCAACAGATTTTACACAAGTCAGTTCATGGAAGGTGTAATAAACGGAACTGCTTTCATGGTGGTGTGTTAAAAGTCTACTCTACTACAACTCTCAAATGACAGAACCAGTAAAATCGGAACAGCATATACTGCAGAAGGTGCCAGCAGCTCAGAAACAGCAACAAGTGAGCATGCAATGAAATAACTCAAAGAATTGCATTTACAAATTTTAGCAACAGTAAACTGATCATAATACTGTCATCATTTACCACTTTTCTTTGTTTTGGGGCATTTTTCGGAGAAATCTGTGCTGTTCCTCCTCTTCTTCTTTCTTAGCATCTCAAGAACAAGTGCCTTCTCTAACTGCTCAACTCTATGGGACAGTGAGCTTAACAATCGTGACTGCATTTCGTTCTTTTCAAACAGCTGCGCCATCATCTCCATCATTCTCTTGTTGTCCACCATCATCTTCTCAAGAAGCTCTCTACTCTCCCCATCTTCTTCTCCTCCCTTCACTCTGCTATATTCTTCTTCTTCGTCTACTGGCTCCTCTTCATTTCCACTGCCCTCCCTTTGATCCACAGCTCCATATTCTGCAACCACATTGTCTAAGTTCGGTGGGTTATTAGACGAATCCGTCTGACTTTCAGCGTCACTCATTTCGGCGTACTCTTCTGCCACCTCAACCTCCCTATGCATCATGTCGTTGTCAAATTCTGCAGGCACCTCATCTTTTCCTGGCGAGTTCTTGCCTTGCTCTGAAACTTGAGGTTCTGCCGCCTTCTGCAGGCACCTCATCTTTTCCTGGCGAGTTCTTGCCTTGCTCTGAAACTTGAGGTTCTGCCGCCTCAACCTCCCTATGCATCATGTCGTTGTCAATTCTTGCCTTGCTCTGAAACTTGAGGTTCTGCCGCCTCAACCTCCCTATGCATCATGTCGTTGTCAACTTCTGCAGGCACCTCATCTTTTCCTGGCGAGTTCTTGCCTTGCTCTGAAACTTGAGGTTCTGCCGCCTTCTGCAGGCACCTCATCTTTTCCTGGCGAGTTCTTGCCTTGCTCTGAAACTTGAGGTTCTGCCGCCTCAACCTCCCTATGCATCATGTCGTTGTCAATTCTTGCCTTGCTCTGAAACTTGAGGTTCTGCCGCCTCAACCTCCCTATGCATCATGTCGTTGTCAACTTCTGCAGGCACCTCATCTTTTCCTGGCGAGTTCTTGCCTTGCTCTGAAACTTGAGGTTTCGGTATATCATCATCTGCATCAGGACCTTCCAGATCAGCATTCGATTCCATAGAACAAGCCGTAGATTCCTCCATAATTGCTCCCTCCTTTTCAGTGTAACGAGGCGTTAATGCTACCTCATCTACGTTTCCACGCTCATTGCAATCATCCGCATATTCAACAGATTCAATTTCTGTTCTATCATCATCACCACCGTCAACTGGTTCGCTGTTTGCCATTTTTGCAGTACAACTTTCATCTTCAAGCTCTGGAATTCTATCCTTGAGATCCGGAGTTTCTTCCGCGCCGATTTCCCTTGCACCAGAAATATTCATTCCTGAGCTCCGATCAGCAGCTTCAGAATCACATTTGGCAGTCGCAGCTTCAAGAGTCTCATGGACGAAATCAGTAGCTTCATCCACAGCAGCAATTGAATCGACCTTCTCCTGCAAGGCAATAGCCTTCTTGATCAATGCCTTCCTGAAATTCCTAATTCCAATATCCACGCCTTCCACCGAATCCAACCTAAACAGCAAACTCATCAGCATCTCACCAAACCTAATTCTCTCCTTACCATCCTTCCGAATCAAATCCACAGTCTCTTCATTCGAAAGCCTCCTCTGTATCTCATTTACTTCTCTCTCAATCGCCACAACCTTCTTCACGCTCTTCCTCACCAGAAAACCTCTGAAAACCTTCTGGATTTTGGTGGCCGAGTCAGATCTGCTCTTCTTCGACTCAACAAAACGGACAGGAATCGAAACCACCTTCGGAACCACCGGCACAGTTCGCCGATGCACCGGAATTTCCATCATGCTAGGAACATACCGAGGGCGTTGAGGGTGGTAGTTCCAGTGATTCCTAAAGAAGGGACTCTCCATTACAATTGAGGATTCAAAAAAATTCTAGAAGAAAATAGATCAGGAGAAGCACAGACAGAACTTTCTCGAGTGAATAGATGACCTTCTCTTGCGCAAATGCAGATAAAATGTCTCCGATGATGAACAGGGTACATGGCCGACTGCTATATATGGGGGGCAAATGGATTTGCAGAAAGGTTCGAGAAGAAGATTCGAAAAATTGAGAAGTTTCGGGAAGATTCAAAATATGCCCGTGGGACTCACTTCTGGAATCTTCTTCAGCGGAACCTTAGGATGACGTGGCTGCTTTCTTATTGGTATCGCCCACAATCGCACCACGTCAGCATTCTGCATCTGTTCACTACACGTGGGATTTCATTTTTCCTTTATGTAGGGTTAAAAACAATTTTCTTCCTTTTATTTCATTATAATGTAATTATAATGAACAAATATAATTTTTAAAAAATTTAATATTATTACATTATATTAATTTAATTTTTAATATTATAATATAGTATTTAATAATTGATTAATATTATATTAAAAATAATAAATAAATAATTTAAGTGAGCACAGCGCGATGAGAATATAATCTTAGTTTAGACAATGGAGAGAAAACTTCACTCGCTTTGTGAGACTTCATATCAGTTGGAGAGGAGAACGAAACGTTCCTTATACGGGTGTGAAAACTCTTCCCTAGCAGACGTGTTTTAAAACCTTGAAAAAAAACTCATAACGAAAAACCCAAAGAGGACAATACTACTAACCACGGATTTGGGCTGTTACACGCTTTCTTCCTATTCTTGATATATATGGGCCTAAATCTAAAAATAATATCGACTAACAGTGGGCTTGAGCTAAACCAAAAAAAAAAAGACCAAAAAAAGATAATATCGGCTAACAGTGGGCATGAGCTCTTATATACTTTCTTCCTATTCTTGATGTATATGGGACCTCCCGGAACAAACATACACCGTAATTATTCATTTCAAATATGGTACTCAAAACGCCTTAAATGGATGAGTTTGTATATAGAAACTTAATGATAAAGTGGCTAAGACATAACTCAAAGATATCAATTCATTCAAACACTTAAACACAACAAAGCATCAGTTCCAGTACGCAAAGCATAAACAGTTCGATGAAAATCAAAACCAAGAAACTGAAGATAACCTGCTGGCGATTAGATGAAGTTCATTCTGTTCGGAATTCTTATTCCTGCTCTCTCAACCAGTTCCTTACAAGCTTTTTTTGCCATCAATATTACATCTTCCTGTCCACCCAAATTTCGGGTTGCACATGTTAAATCAATTAAAGCTACGTATACCCGAAATAAAGCAACGCTTATCATGTTTAAGAACGAAAAATCGAGATGAAGTACCTCGTTCACATTAACGATCTTCTTATCTTTCATTATCCACCGGCCATTGCACATTACAGAGACAACATTTTCAGTCCTCATACTGTAGACAAGGCATGAAATACTGCAATATCAATTAGACAATGCCATCAGTTCATTTACAATTCTCAGCTCAAGTGAGAGTGACAAAACATATCATAAAAGCTCAAGGAAATGAATACCTGTCATGGGCAGGAACCATGGACCAAGAGGAAGGATTGATCACAACCATATCCGCCTACAATCAAGATAGTAGAATAAATCATCCTCGAGCGTTTGAAAGTAACAGGTGGCATTACTTGCTCAACCATGAGAAATTGCAATGAATTCCAAATAAAAACATGCCTTTTTTTCTGTGTACAAATGAGTTTATAAGTCTAGTAGAACAGTTTGTGTCACGGTTCAGAATGATTGGGAGGGAGTCCTACATTGGCTAATTAAGAAGGGGATCATGGGTTTATAAATAAGGAATACATTTCCATTGGTACGAGACCTTTTGGGAAAACCAAAAACAAAGCCATGAGAGCTTATGCTCGAAGTGGACAATATTATACCGTTGTAAAGGGTCGTGGTTTCTAACATGGTATCAGGGTCATGCCCTTAACTTAGCCATGTCAATAGAATCCTCGAACAAAGAAGTTGTGAGCCTTGAAGATGTAGTAAAAAAAATGACTCAAGTGTCGAACAAAGAGTGTACTTTGTTCGAGGACTCCAGAAAAAGGAGTTGGAGGAGTCGGGGGAGGCTGTTTGAGGGCTTTATATCAATACAAGGTCAAAGAAATATTACCTTCTTCCCAACTTCAAGTGATCCTATTTCATTCTCCCAAAGCACTGATTTTGCACCATTTATAGTCACCATTTGTAGAACTACTTCAGCAGGAAGAACAGAGGGATTGGTTGTTCCATTTACAAACACTTCCCGGCCTTTATTAATGAGTGATGCAAGGTACATTTCATCAACTGCAAAATATATAGACATTTAGTTCATCAACTACCATTGTTCTTGTGCCATGTGGAAACTTTGTTCACAACGACGAACGTATAAACTTGAGGTTACTGTGTTCTGATCAAAATTGTCTGCATCTTTACATTGTTATGTTACAATCACCACTTGGGTAAAACAATAATGCCATTAGACCTACAATATATACTCATTGAAGTCCATATGATATCCAATATAAAAGGTTCCGTTGGATTTGCATGTGAGGGTGTGCCAAACTTATCCTTAAAGGTGAGGTGTTTTCAAGAGAATGTTTCAGTTCTCAGTATAACGCACAACTAAAGTGATAGTTGGTCACCACGATGTGACTGTAACGACTCAAGCCCACCGCTAGCAAATATTGTCATTTTTGGGATTTCTCTTTCGGGCTACCACTGAAGGTTTTTAAAACGCGTATGCTAGGGAGAGGTTTCCACACCCTTATAAAGAATGTTTCGTTCTCTTCCCCAATCGACGTGGGATCTCACAATATGTTACAAATGTTATTAGAGCCAGACACCGAGCGATAATGCCAAAGAGGAGGCTAAGCTCTGAAGGGAGGTGGACACGAGGCGATGTGCCAACAAGGATGTTGGGGCTCAACGGGGGGTGGATTGGGGAGTCCCCCATCGATTAGAGAAGAGAATGAGTGTCAGCGAAGACACTAAGCCTCGAAGGGAGGTGGATTGTGAGATCCCACATCGGTTGGGGAGGAGAACGAAACATTCTTTATAAGGGTTTGAAAACCTCTCCTTAGCAGACGTGTTTTAAAAACCTTGAGGGGAACCCCGAAAGGGAAAGCCTAAAGAAGACAATATCCACTAGCGGTGGGCTTGGGCCATGACTGATTGCCCACTAGACGTATGGTAAAAAGATGAAATAATGTATAACTTGTTAGAATTTCTAGACAGAAACAAACCTATGCTCATTCTATTATTTGACGGAGCTCCATCTGTTCCAATGGAAACACAAATACCAGCATCAAGCATCTCTCTGATAGGTGCAAATCCAAGCATTCTCATTGCAGAAGCAGGACAGTGGGATACTTTGACCCCATTCCTTGAAAGAAAACTAATCTAACAAGATATCAATAAGACTTGCATTATAAAACGTAGTTATGAAAAACATGGGCGTAAAAGCATTTAAGAATTCAACAACACATTATTGAAGGGAATAGAGCGCAAGAACATTAATTAGGAAGATATTAACTTAGCTCATATACCTAGTAACTTAGCTCATGACCTAGATGAGATTAGGAAGCCACCGAGCTCGGTGGATCTTAGCCAACCAAGTGACGCCAAAAGCCACCTAGCGCCTAAGTGAGACTAGGAAGCGACACAGCCAAGGAGACCAAGAAGCTGCCTAGCCAGGTTATCCGAACTGGTAACCATGACTGAAATGAGACCTAAAACTAGTCCAAGAGGTCTACACGCCATGTAGACTCGAGGTCACATCTTTGTGGCATTAGCCATATTGGATGTAACAAGTGCATCTTATAATATCCTTCCTGGTTATAGCTTGTGAGAATCCCACATTGATTGGGGAGGAGAACGAAACACCCTTTATAAGGGTGTGGAAATTTTTCCCTAGTAGACGCATTTTAAAAACCTTGAGGGGAAGTCCGAAAGAGAAAACCCAAAGAGGACAATATCTGTTAGCGGTAGGCTTGGGTCATTACATAGAGGCATAAAATTCATTCAAAGGCCTGCAAAGTTTCCTATGATGTCCTAGCAGGCCACAACTTAGGTTATGCTTGATGACCACCTTGGCAGGCTAAACACCATCAAGTTGCACCTATCAAAAGCTGTTTGGTGTGCATGTTTGACCCGACTTGGAATGCAACCTACAATTAGCAGTAATCAAAACGTGCTCTCTACTATATTGAAACTATGCCAAACCCAAAACTTGCACTACTTAAATATTCAACCGTACTCGTTTCGTAGAGGTAGCCACCTCCAACCCTGTTGACATAGTCAGTTTGGTCAACTATCTGATCAAAAGCATGCAACAACAAACGTTTGGGTCGGAGTATGTTACTACATAGCTAGGATTTGGATTCCTTTTGAGGGGTTAAAAAGAAAAGGAGAAAAAATTACCAACCTACAACTTCTCACCTCATTGTCATTGACCCAGACAGTATGTGCAGAAAGTAAATTGTTTCCGAGGAACCGTATTTTATCCAGGTAAGTAACGGTTCCATGATCAACTTTTCGTTCGTTCATCACTTTGAGGTTCTCATAGGGTATCTCTGCAACATGCTAAAATGCACATGACAAATGAAATCAAATTTCCACAACTCAAGCTTTGGAGCCATTGATATAATTTGAACTATTTCGAGACTGCAAAAGCGTAAGTAACGAAGATAGAAGTACCATGTGGATCCCTGTTTCTAGTTTTATTGCATTGTCCCGTGTTTCGATCAATAGACGTTCTGTTGCATTCATAATTTGTCTGATACCAAACCATACTCTGATGCGCCCATCTGCTGTGTTGTGGTGCTTCTTGTAAAGCTCCTTTTGAGACTGACCTTGAAAATGAAAATTAACGTAGTTATTCATAAGGCTTAGGAAATTAAAGAAAGTAAATCACTTCCATTAAACCAAAAAACAGGAAAGCATAAACTTATGACCATGAACATCAAAAACTTCTTAACCAACAATTTTCTCAAGGAAACCATTCAAAATTTTGCCTTTCTTTCATCTTCCAAGTTCCAAGACAACCTCGGCTTAATGTTTTAAGCATATTTCATCGCCTAAGTGGAGCAACAATCTTCAACCATTTCGTAGTAGCAGTTTAATCTAATCATTTAATCTATTATCTACACAAAAGTTCTCTAAATACCATCTATACATCACTAATTATATGAATGAATTCT